ACCATCAGGCTTACGCTCAGATGAAATCTACATCAGCTCTGAGTACCCACACTGCAGCGGTGCTCACGTGCACATTCCTAACCCCAAACCTGTGTTCTTTTGCTATATCACTTCTGCTGCATTAAAGGCTCCTTGAGGCCAGGAACTCTGAGCGTCCCCTTCAAGGTGCTCTTCTGCCCCGGGAAAGGTGCTAGACACACAGAAGGTGTCAAGTTACTACTACTGAACAAGTGGGTGAGCCAGTAGTGCATGAGTGAGTATGTCCAGGTATCATCTTTCCCAAAATCGACCTTGTCAAGATCAAGATGGAGTCACTTGTGTCAAGGACTACCAAAAGTAAATAAATAAATAATCCAGGAGGTTACGAAGAGAGGATTCTTACGCATGGCTGCCTGATAGTAACTACCCTTCAAGACTCTGCCAGAACCACACTACACAGAGGCCACCCCAAACTTATACAAAAAGTCCTCCTATAAGGACATCTGCCCAGAAACTGATTTTCAGCCTCACACTAATGTCATCATGGTTGCTAATCACTGTGGCCAAATATTATTGTTTGAAAATGTATGGGAGCTAGTGCTGGGGCATAATGGGTAAAGCTGCTGCCTGCAATGCCGGCATCCCATAAGGGCGCCGGTTCTAGTCCCGGCTGCTCCTCTTCTGATCCAGCTCTCTGCTGTGGCCTGGGAAAGCAGTGGAAGATGGCCCAAGTCCTTGGGCCCCTGCATCCGCATGAGAGACTTGGAAGAAGCTCCTGGCTCCTGGCTTTGGATTGGCGCAGCTCCGGCCGTTGTGGCCAACTGGGGAGTGAACCAGCGGATGGAAGACCTCTCTCTCTCTCTACCTCTCCTCTCTCAGTGTAAACTCTTTCAAATAAATAAATAAATCTTAAAAAAAAGTATCCAATGTAATCCCTCACTTGTTTGTCTCTATAGACAAATGTCCTCTTGCCTTGAGCTCTTTGAATATACTCCTGGTTTACTATGGCACATGTATTTGTGATGCTCGGCTACTCCCAAATAAATGGCATTATTCTTTGGAGAATCTTCCTCTGATTCAGTTTTTTTTCCCTCTTAGATTAACAGATCTCTCCCTGTATGCTTGCCACAATACCCAACATTCTCCCCTTAGGAGTCAGTCCTTTGAGTTACGTTGCTCGTTTCCACTGAAGTACCCAGAAAAACAGCAGAAAGTGCCTGCACACTGCTGGGATTCTCAGGGGGCATGACATCAACCCAGCCTCCTACTATCTGTATTCTGATGCCTTGAACCTGACGCTTTGCTGATGCTGGAGGGGCTGCTCCTTCCAGGGTTAGCCAACTCAGAGAAACAGCAAACAGCTTGCTGCAAGCACATTTTCAAGTACAAAACAACCAATCCACAGCCCACACCCCCAACACCCTCCTTTATGGAATCTGAAACTCCAGCTTACTGTCCACCTGCCCTAATTGTCTGGTACTGGGATCAGGTACTTCACAATTCAGGACTGCCCCTACATCCTGAGAGACAACTGCAAGGAGCCAGACTCCAACCCTAAGCTGGTTTACCATGCCCCACTTGTTCTTCCCTGTAGAAACCACCATCAAGGCCCTTGTTCCTGATCCTCCCCCACCCCCAGCCCCTCACCTATCCCTGTGGTCAGCCTTGGTATTTTCTGTCCCACAAACAGCTTCCACCACCACCCACCACCATGGTGTGGTGTGGCTCATGCTCCCCCTCCTGGAGCCGTGAACAATAAACTATCTTTTCTGGAAATTATCTTGTAGATCCATTTGACCTTGCTACATATAGCTCAAATCTTTCATTAAGCTTACAGAAAATTGGCTTTAAAAATAAGTTTTAAAAACCATGTATAATGAGGGGCCTTCAAAAAATTCATGGAAAATTTATATTATGAAAAAATACATGGGGCTGACGTGGTGGCATAGTAGGTAAAGCTGCTGCCTGTAGTGCCAGCAGCCCATATGGGCACCGGTTCTAGTCCCGGCTGCTCCACTTCCAATCCAGCTCTCTGCTGTGGCCTGGGAAAGCAGTAGAAGATGGCCCAAGTCCTTGGGCCCCTGCACCCATGTGGGAGACTGGGAAGAAGCTCCTGGCTCCTGGCTTCGGATTGGTGCAGCTCCAACCGTTGCAGCCAATTGGGGAGTGAATCAGTGGATGGAAGACCTCTCTCTCTCTCTGTCTCTCTCTCCCTCCCTCTCTCTCTCTCTCTATCTCTTTCTGCCTCTGCCTCTCTGTAACTCTGCCTTTCAAATAAATAAATAAGTGAATCTAAAAAAAAAAGAAAAAATGTATGGATTTCACAGTTTTTACACCAAAATAAACTCATCTTCATTTTCCACTTTTTAAGTCACCCTGCCTCTCCATGAAGTCCTAAGTTTTATTAAAAAAATTTTATTCTAAGTTTTTGCTTCTTCAATGACATCCACCAGTTTTACTTTCATAGGAAAGTGAAGTTTCCCTGACAGTACAGCACTCAGTAAAACGCATGGTCCAGAAGAGGACTGAGCTCATCCTGGGGCTTTGTGCCCTGGCCCTCTACTAAAAACTGGGCGTGAGCTTGCTTCACCCACTCTCAACTGGAGGATACATTCATTTTATTTATTATATTTTACTGACTGTGGTTTGCTTTGTTTTAATCATTTATTTGCAAGGCAGAGAAAGAGAAAGAGAGAGCTCTTCCTTCCATTCGCCATTTCATTCCCCAACTGCCAGCAACAGCTGGAGCTAGGCCAGGCTAAAACCAGAAGCTGGAAACTCAGTCTGGGTCTCCCATGTGGATGGCAGGGACCCAGGCTGTGCATTAGCAGGAAGCTGGAGTTGGGAGCAGAGCCAGGGCTTGAACCCTGGCTCTCCAAAATGGGATATGGATACCCTAAGTGGTGTCTCATTGCTGCGCTAAACATCCACGCCCCGTAGATCAGTTTTAAATGACTGTATAGGCATTGGCACAGTGGAGGGGTTTTCGCTGGTTTTGTACATGATGTTCAGGAAAAACACAGCAGCGAGAGGTCCTTCGGGCAGCATGGGGACAGGTGTCCAGAGTAATGAGGTTAGGGAGCGGGAAGGAGCCAGAGTAAACTTAGACAAACTCCAGTCTCAGTGGGCAGAGGGCTGGGTGGTGGGAGGCGGCAGCAGGACACCAGGACTAAGGTGGAGACGAGGCTTCCGTGGAAGAGCTGAGAAGCAGAGATGGGGTGAGGAGGCAGGATGAAAACAGCGCCTGCTGCCCACGCCCTCAGCCAGGGGCTCTGCAGGGATGAGCACGGTGAGCAGGAGCGATCTGACCGAGAACCCACTGTCTGCCTGCAGCCTGGGTGTCCAGGGACCTCCAGGAGGGCTGATCATCAGCCATGCCTGTGTGGGCCGCAGGTCTCAGGAGCCCAGCACGAGGCTGGAGGGCAGCTAGAGAGAAATGAGAGGTAAAGGGGGAAGGAGCGGCTCCCACCCCTCAGACCCGGAGCCTGCTGCCCCCAGCCCCTGCAGTCCCTTCCAGCCCCTGCAGAAAACCCGTGCTGCAATTCCTGCTTTATGGCCTCTGCCAAATGAAGCACAAACTTAACTACATCACCTCCCTGGCAGGATGAGGGAGGGGCTGGGGGGCTTCGTGCTGGGCTCCTTCAGCCCCCTAATCTAATCACTGGTGTGGGTCATTTCAATTAAGGATACCGCAGTGTCTTGGGGGGCGTGGCTGCTCATAAAAGCCTCCTCCCTGCTGTGGCTCTGCTCATTGGGAAGCTCTTGCTGTCTCGGCAGGTAAATAACTCAGGGCTGAGCGGTTCTGGCTGCTGAGATGGGTCTGAGCTTGGGGGACAGGACAAGGTAGACTAAGCTGGGTACAGAGATGACTGAGGCGGGCCCAGAGGCACGGCGACGGGTGCCAGAAAGGAGGCCATGCTCTGGATGGAGCCCAGGGACTGCGGTCGGTGGCCCGGGCTGGTGGAGGAATTCCTTCCCTTAAAAAGCCAAGCATCTCCTAAAGCCTCAGGTCAGAGGGTGGGGTACAACTGAAGCTCCACGTGCTTCTGCTCACCTTGCCTCCAGGTGTGTAATTAGATCCTGAGAGGCCAGAGGACCTGAGGAGGCCTGAAGCCGACCTGGGAGGAGAGCTGCCCGTGTGGATGCTCTTTCGATTGCTTCCAGTTTCTGAGTCACTTAGGCTGAGTCAGGCCACGGGAGACTGGCTGTGTCCAAAAGGAGACTTAAGAGGGGAGAAGCTCAGTGGGACAACAGCTGATGGTGGAAGTTGGGAGTGTGGGGGGGTACCTTGCGAGAAAAGGAGGCGCCTCTACCACCTCATTATTTGCAACACAAAAGGCTCCGGGGGCTCTGGGAGGTCATTAAGCAGCAAAGCTGTCTTGAGACGTAATGATAAGATAAACCAAAGTCTACGTAGCTAGCCTGGGACCGTGGGCTGAACTAACCCTATTCCAGACAGCAGTGACGGCCCCAGAGCTGGAGCTGTAATTGCTTGGTGAGGGCTGCAATTACTTTAGATTCTGGGAAGCAGCATATGGTGAGAGCATGCACAGCTGGGAGAATCCCGTTTTGCTCTGTTCCTCAGTTTCCTTCCTCTCTGAAAGAATCATCATGAAATGCACAAGCATTTGGAGGGGCTGCTCTGTAAACAAGGGCTCCTGGCATCTGTGTCCCTCCCCCAGCAAGGGACACTGCTCTAGGAGCAAGTTTCTAGTGGTGTGTGATAACAGTGCCACAGCCTGGGGAGGCAGACCTGACCATGGGGCTTGACATGAGTTCCTGGAGGCCCACTGAGATCAGGGCCTCTCAGAGTCCACCCTGGAGTCGTTTAGGCTTCGCTGCTGAAAGACCTCTTCCGAGAGACTGACAGAAAACCTAGACAGTGATATCTGGGCCTGGAGCACATCTGACCAGTAGGTTTTGCCCCTCAGATGTGGGAAGTGGATTGGGGAGTTCCTTTGTCACCCCCATCACTCAAGTGCTCTGCAAGGAGGCATGTGATGACTTCAGCCTTGGTCTTTGGATCCTATAGTGAAGTTGCTACTGGGGAGAGCCTGAGCCCAGGACTTGATTTTGGTAGAGGAAACTGGAAATCTGACCCCACACCAGGGACTTGAGACTGGGTCCCATCTGTTGATAGCAGATGGGTCTTTATTTTGTGATAGTTTATTTACTTTTCAAAGTGCTGATCTGATATATATTTTTTAAAGATTTATTTATTTATTTGAAAGTCAAAGTTACACACACACAGAGAGAGAGAGAGAGAGAGAGAGAGAGGTCTTCTATCTGCTGGTTCACTCCCCAGTTGGCCTCAATGGCCGTAGCTGGACTAATCCGAAGCCAGGAGCCAGGAGCTTCTTCTGGGTCTCTCACATGGGTGCAGGGGCCCAAGGACTTGGGCCATCTTCTACTGCTTTCCCAGGCCATAGCAGAGAGCTGGATCAGAAGTGGAGCAGCCAGGACTCAAACTGGATGCCAGCACTGCAGGTGGTGGCTTTACCCACTATGCCACAGCGCCAGCCCGATATATTGTTTCATTTCTATGCTTACACCTCTGTGATGTGGACAGAGTAAGCATAAACAGCTCCAATTTCAAATAAGTTAAGTGGAAGTCAGGTTCAGCTCAATGCTCCCTGGCTAGATAGGGATGGAGCCAGGACCCAAACCAGAACTTCTGAGTTTCAATCTGGTGCTTTCTCCAGGACAGAGTTGAAAAGTGGGGGGACCCCACTGCAGGCTTTTTCCTCCTCTATGAACTGGGAGAGCAAGTGGAGAAAGCCAGAATTAATAGAGGCCAGCAGAATGTGTCAAGGCGGAGGAGGCCTGTGGTAGGAAGTAGGAAGTGAGGAAGGAAACAGGTGAGGTTTGTATGGACACTTCCTGTTGGCAAACTTCTTATGCTCCTCATTTCATTAACAGCAGCGGTGGAATTTCATGGACAATTGGCGTTGAGCACTAACTGGGAGGTAATGAGAGAGGGAGGATGCAGGTAAAGGCTGTTTGAATTTAAATTCTTTTTCTTCGGGGGGAGAGAGGGGGCAGATTTTTTTTTTTCAAAAGCAATTTTAGTGCTGGAAAAAGTTTCTAGCAAACAGCTTTGGACTCTTGTGTCTTCTGTCGACAACAGACGCTGATGACGACCGTGTAGCCCACTGAGTTCTGCCACCAACTTCCCAATGACTGCCCTGGATGGGGGCTTGGGGTTGCCCAGGGACTGGGCATAGATTTTTGTCTCTCAGACTTGGGAAAGCGCATCACATATGTGTCCACCATCAGCAGTGAGCTTGCATGTGGTACTCTGCAGTAGTTATTGGAATCAACATAAGCAAGTCAGTATGGACCTGGGCATAGACAGGGGGTAAAACAGAAAAACCGGCTAATGGTTCTAGGAGTGTGTGGTCTGTTTGGCAAATCACACACACACACACACACACACACACAAAAGAGGCTCAAAATATTCAAAAGGAGAACAATATAAGGTAGTGTAAAGATACAGAGGAAGAGAACCATGGGGGATCTGATGAAAAAGGCAGAGCGGGGACAAAGCTGTTTGGGACAGCATTCTGAAACGGAGTTGACACACAGATTGGGGAAGCAAAGGAGGAATGCGTGGAACAGAAGTAGAAGCTTAGATCTACTGAGGACAGTAGCTTGGCTATCCTGAAGACTGCAGAGGACACAATGAAAAGCAAAGAAAGGCAAGTATTAGGGGAGGGTATTTTGGGGGAGAAGATTGAATTCTAATCTTACAATTCAAGTGCCAACGTGACTAGGGCTCTTTGGTTCTGAACCAGTGACTGTATGCACAGGTGGGAGTGAGGGATCACTGGAACTGTGGGGTTAATTTTATGTGTCAACTTGGCTGGGTCCCCGTATTGAAATATTGAGTCAAAATTATTCTAAATGTTTCTGTAATGGCATTGTAGATGAAAGTAAAATTTAAACCAGTAGACCTTGAGTAGAATAGATTAACTTCTATAATGCTGGCGGGCCTTACCCAATGGGTTGAAGCCTCGATAAAAAAGACTGAGCTCCCTGGAAGAAGAGTGGGTTCTGCCAGCAGATCACCTTTGAGCTCCATCTGCAGCTCTTCCGGGGCTTCAACCTGCTGATGCAACCTGTAGATTTTGGAAGTTCCAAACCTCCACAGTCACATGTGAATGTTAGTGATGAGCTGATTTGCGTCCTGAAAAAAATTCCTATGTTGACTGTGTCCCAGCTCTTACCACCCCAGATATGACCATTTGGAGATAGGGCCGTGAAAGAAGTAGTGAAGGTTAAATAGAGTCTTTAGGATAGTCCCTAATCCTATAAGAGGACATGGGGTCGGCACTGTGGCATAGCAGATAAGGCCACTGCCCCCAGTGCTGGCATCCAATATGGGCGCAGGTTCGTGTCCTGGCTGCTCCACTTCTTTTTTCATTTATTTTTTTACAGGCAGAGTTAGACAGTGAGAGAGAGAGACATAGAGACATAGAGAAAGGTCTTCCTTCTGTTGGTTCACCCCCCAAATGGCCACAACGGTCAGCGCACAGCGCCGATCCAAAGCTAAGAGCCAGGTGCTTCCTCTTGGTCTCCCATGCGGGTGCAGGGTTCAAGCACTTGGGCCATCCTCCACTGCTTTCCCAGGCCACAGCAGAGAGCTGGACTGGAAGAGGAGCAACTGGGACAGAACTGGCGCCCCAACCAGGACTAGAACCCGGAGTACCGGCGCCACAGGCGGAGGATTAGCCTACTGAGCTGCAGCACCAGCCCCGGCTGCTCCACTTCTGATCCAGCTCACTGCTATGGCCTGGGAAATCAGTGGAAGATGGCCCAAGTCTTTGGACCCCTGCACCCGCGTGGAGACCCAGAGGAAGCTCCTGGCTCCTGGCTTCGGATCAGTGCAGCTCTGGCTGTTGCAGCCAACTGGGGGAGTGATCCAGTGGATGGAAGACCTCTCTCTCTGTCTCTCTGCCTCTCCTCTCTCTGTGTCACTCTTTCAAGTAAAATAAATAAATCTTTTTAAAAAATAAGAGGACCTTGGGCCAACAGGTGCATGCATAGAGGAAAGACCATGAGAAGCCTCAGCAGGAAGTCAATGGCAGGCAAGCCAAGGAGAGATGTCTCAGGAGAAACAAATCCTGCCAGCACTTTGACTTTGAACTTCCAGCCTCTAGAGTGGTGGGAAAAAAGTTTGTTTAGGCCACTTAATCTAGTATTTTATGATGGCAACCCTAGATGGCTAGTGCAGGGACAGTGGATTATAAATTCCTTGAACTCAAGGACCATGGCTTGTGTGTGTCCCTCATCAATGCCTTACTCAGGGCGTGTGCTCATTGAATGATGTGCTAGACTCATCTTGGAAGCCTTGGCACCTGGATTTGCTCCAGCAAGGATGCACAGGAGGGAGACGGAGGCTGGGTTAATGGGAACAAGAGCTTCAGAAGGATGTGGAATGGCAGGGATTTTGTGCTCTAGTTCATACAAGGTTGACTGTGGGGATCAAATCCAGTGAAGACTGATGTGTGACTGATTTAGCAATGCCTAGGACTTAGTCATCACTCAATAAAATTTTGTTGAATAGATGACCAAGGCAGGATGGAAGATGCAGTGAGCTTACATGTTTTTAAAATATTTGTTTATTTGAAAGGCAAAGTTACAGACAGAGAGAGACATACAGAGAGAGGGTAGGAGACACAGAGAGATCTTCCATCCACTGATTCACTCCCCAAATGGCCACAAGAGCCAGGGCTAGGTCAGGCTGAAGCCAGGAAGCTGGAACTCCAAGTACCTGGGCTATCTTCCACTGATATCCCAGGCACATTGGCAAATGAATTGGAAATGGAGCAGCCAGGACTTGAACCGGTGCCCATATGGGGTGCTGTTACCACAAGTGGGCATTTAACTCACTGTGCCATAATGCCAGCCACTACAATTTCTTTCTTTCTTTTTTTTTTAAAGCTGTCTACATGTACATTTATGCATGTATGTGCCTAGAAGCTTCCTGAAAGTAGTTGCTAATGGTGGCTACTTTCAGAGCGTGCACTGGGATAAGAAGGAGGGCTGACTTTTTCCTGTGTACTTTGTACTGTTCAGACAGTTTCATCATAAATGCATTGCCTCTGGGTCATTCAGTAGTCCACTGGGTGATATACTTGGACTTAGTGAAAAGCAGTGGGGGAGGACTTCTAATTCCACCATTCCTTCGCCTTCCATCTTCCCACAAGAACACCTCCAGCCTCCCCTAAGAGCCGTGAGCACAAGGAGGAGACCAGCAAGTTTCAGTCTTCAGAAGCCACTCCACAGCGCCCAAAGGGAGCTCAGGGTGATGGCGTAGAGCATCAGCACGGCGAGGTAGCCTCGGAAGAGCAGTCGGTCGAAGCGGTACAGGAGAGCCAGCCACTCAACCTCCTGTTGCTCCACCTGGTCCTGAGTTCGGAGGTAGCTGTTGATGGACTGAAGCTGGAGCCAGACTTCATTCAGGGCCCCTGACTGGGTCTGCTGGTCTCGCCAGGTGGAAGACCCTGCAGGGTAGGGGACGGCACCCTAGGTGAGCCAGGAGCTACCGAGGACCACCTGGAATTTTCCCTTGAAGCAGAGTGATGCATCCCGCAAAACCGGGCACTGGGCTGTTGGAGGTGGGATCTCTCTCCCTACCTGCTTAGGGGAGACTGAAGGGAACCTGGGAGAACATGTCAGAGCTCTATTATGAAAGTCTGGCGTGTGAGGGCTAGATCCATTTAGGAGATTTTCTGGGCTCAGCATCAGCTGAAGGTGACTCAGTTGCAGCTTTAGGAGCTGAGATTATTCCTGCACCTTTTACATTGAGCAACTAGAACCCTAATATATACAAGCTCAGTGTGTGTGTGTGTGTGTGTGCACGCGCACACGTGCGCGCATGTGTGTGTGCACACACCAGTCCTCTCCTAATCTGGAATCAATGACTCAATTGAATGGTTGAAACTGGAAAATAAAAGAAGGTAAGAGCAACTGGTCTGACTTTCAAGTGAAAATGAGGCTTTCTGGAAAGTCAGCCAGAGGCAGCCTGCAGTCCCTGGAGAGGTAATACACACCATAGTACAGAGGCTAAGACGCAGGTGTGTCAGATTCTTTCACAGACCAACGTGGCCCAGAGCCCTTACAATGGGGATTAGTTCTGAGGGTGATAAAGCATGACACAGTAAAGACTCCAAAACTTCTCACAAACCTGTTACCCCAGCGTGCGGGGCCCTGGGATCCATTCCAGGTCCGTCAGCATCAGTATCCCCTCGAAGGCACAGGAGGGACCGTTCTTGCCCACTGTGCCGCTCATCGTGGAGGAATTTGACCAACAGGATGGACTTAGATAAGCTGAGAACCAAGAAGGCCATGCAAACTATGAAGAAGGCCCCTGTGAGGAGAACCAGAGCAGAGAAGGCAGAGTTGGCAGCGTCTCTGGTCCCCTCCCTTCCTCCTCCAGTCTGAAATGCAGCATCAGCTGTTTGGCAGGCAGCATCGCACAAGGCTCACCAATCAGTGGGGTGCTCCCTGTGCTCCGCGGCACCTCGTTCGACATGTTGACCCTGAAGACGGTATAGCCCACCAGCACGCTGGTCTTGAACACAATCCTCGTGCGGCAGTTGGGTGGCAGGTAGAAGCTCCCCAGGTCGACAAGCATCAGGAAGATGCTGGGAATCAGCAGGCTCACGACATAGACTAACGGGCGCCTGCGAATCACCACCTGGCCAGGAACGAGGCATCTGTTAGAAAGACTAATGTCTGGCCAAGTCCATGGCCAGAAATGCTCCATGAAGTCTCAGTCCGTTTGCATTATATGAAAATTCTATGTAGTTTATCACAGATACACGTTTGAGGTTATTTTGTGTTTTACCAAATGGATAAAATAATCCTTTCAGCTTCTACAGAGCTAATATTATTAATAATTAGAAGAAGAAATAGTTAACATTTATTTATCACTTACTGTGAGCCAAGCACTAGACTTTTACATGAAGGCAAGTCAACATGTTTGTGGGAAATTGAATTAAAAGATAAATTTATTTTGGTAAAAAAATTTTTTGAAACCCCTGCATACCAGAGGTCTTCAACATTTAATGAAGAAACTATGCAAACACTTCAAAAAATTTTTGCACCAAAATAAACTTCTCTTTGAATTCCATTTCTCCACAAACATTTTGAAGTACCCCCATACACTTTGCTTATTCATGTCTCACAACCTTAAAGGTTGGGTATCTCTATTTCCATTTTACAAACAAGGAGACAGAGGTTGAAAGAGGTTGACTTACTTATCCAAACTCACACAGCTGGTGAGAAACTGTTTCAAAACCAAATCTTTCTTCTTAAATCACTTACTATGCAGTCAATGGGGTTGCTTTCAGTTTAGTTTATCTTGCTTGGAATGCCCTTGGTATCCAGCACTTGTATATCTATCAGAGTCTGGGCAGGAATGAATAGCACATCTAAACTGGGAGATTTCAGGAGGGTTCAATAAAGGGACTGTTTGCAAAGTGTGGGCAGGGTATAGGGAAGCCAAAGAAGAAAGGCTGCCCTGGGACTTTAGGAGATGAGAAACTCCTACCACCCTTAGGTCTAGAGGAGTCAAGGGCTAGGAATGGGGACCAGACTTGAGGAGAGAGAACTGTGCAGAGAGGCAGGAGCAGGGGCTTCCTGTTGGGGGTGTGGCCAGCCTGGTGACACTTCATGAAGGGAAATGGAAAAATAAGTACCCCTTTGTTCACCTCCCTCCCTCCCATCTCCTGCCACTGTTCTTCCCTGTCTCCCCATTTTGACAAACATGACCAGGGATCCCATCTCTGTAGAGCACAAGCTTAGTCCCCAGAAACAAGTACAGGGGAAAAAAGAGGGCAGGGTCCCTTGGAGTAGGCACCAGCTGAAGCTGCCTTGCGTGGCTTGCACTATGGGGACAAACAGCTGTTTGGGGGTCTCACAAAATTACTATTATTGTCACTATTTCTTATACCTAGCTTCTCTGGGATGGCAATAGGAAATGTTTTGGAAAAACACACAATCTGTTCTCATTCTTCCTAAAGAGAAGCCAGGGAATGGATGGGTTGCTTCCCCCACTATCCTATGCACCTTCATCTCATCCCATCCCTATAGTGGTGATACCCACCATAAGGCCAAAATAAGGCCTATTTTATAGTGGGTGTTCAATAAATGTGTTTGAACAAATAAACATTCCAGGCCCTTTGCTAGTGGATTTGGACAACGATAATGTTTGAAATCTCCCATTTTTCTAACCTGCCAACAAGGGAATGCTTTCTAAGTGTCAGATGGCATGCTAGATGCTTTTATGCATATGATGTGATGTATTTACTCCTAGTTGCAAACCTGTTAGTAGGTCATATCTTTCACCCCGTAAATTTTTTCTTTTTTTTTTTTTTTTTTTTTTTGGACAGGCAGAGTGGACAGTGAGAGAGAGAGATAGAGAGAAAGGTCTTCTTTGCCGTTGGTTCACCCTCCAATGGACGCCGCGGCCGGCGCGCTGCAGCCGGCGCACTGCGCTGATCCGATGGAAGGAGCCAGGAGCCAGGTACTTATCCTGGTCTCCCATGGGGTGCAGGGCCCAAGCACCTGGGCCATCCTCCACTGCACTCCCTGGCCACAGCAGAGGGCTGGCCTGGAAGAGGGGCAACCGGGACAGAATCCGGTGCCCCGACCAGGACTAGAACCCGGTGTGCCGGCGCCGCTAGGCGGAGGATTAGCTTAGTGAGCCGCGGCGCCGGCCTTCACCCCGTAAATTTTCAATAATAAAGCTCAGCCCCCATAAGTAAGTTGAGTATGTGGCAGGGCCAGGATGTGTCCCAAGACCCGAAAGTCCCTGCTCTTTACTACTAAGGCATCGCTGCAACACTCAACCCCACCAGACCTCTGATTGAGTGCATCTCATCTCCATATCCTGCCATGGAAGAGAATCACAAAGAAGTGAGCCAAGATGACGTGCAGAGGCCAGCGATGGTGCAGAGGTGGTAGGGGCAGTCCAGACATCACCTTGCTGGTGACAGCCGGGGCTCCCTAGCCATCAGCTCTAGGAGGGCATCCCAACTCAGTGGAGCTTAGCAGGCCAGAGCCGCTTGGCGGATTGTAGTCTGGCTGTTGTCTTTCACATTAAGCATAATTGGCTGCAGATATCTAAAACACAGCAACACTCAGTGCTTTGCAATAATTTGGTTAAAACACATTTCTACCAAAGTGCACTCAACAAGAAAAACAACAACAGAATTAACTGTCATCAACCTGCACCTCTCTAGCTCCCACCATCACTGTGACTGAGCCAGCCATGGTTAGGTGGGGGGAGGGGAAAAGGAATCAGATATCAGGGTCCCTGGAGGGGTTTCTGTTGTGACCCAGCAAGGACTGTTGGTGATCTTTCTTTTTGGGGTTGGCAGGGATGACCAAGCCAGTGGTCTCTGGAGGGTGGAAATGGGATACCCTAGAGACTTCAGAATAGACAGCACAGAAAGGGCAAGAAGAGCCTAAGAATCATGCTACACTGGATGACCAGGAACATGGAAGAGCCCAGTCTTAAGACCAAGGGAACAGAATTCCAGAGCCTCTCCATCCTAAGGGCCTGTGTGGGCTGGTTTCAGTGGTCCTCGGTGAGCAGTCACCTCACCACACCTCCGTTTCCCTCTTTTTTTTCTTTTACAAAGCAGCTTATTTTTGCTTTGCTAAACATCTTGTATACAATTGAGATGAACTGTTGCACTCTTTAAACAAAGTGCCCGTGTAGCTAGCACAAGCCGAGATGATTCATACATGCAGAGGCTAATGCAGATGCTTGAATGTTAATCTCGGCCAGAAACAAGGTCCGGTGACCTGGCTGCTCAAGGACCCTGGTTTCTGAGAAGGTGCCCTTTCATGGGAGCATGTGTTTCCCGGGGGGTTGGGGGAGGGGTGCAGGAAGAGCTAAGAGGCTTCGTGGCAGCTGGCTTCATGGGAGTGTGACTTGTGCAGCCACACTCGACCATACACATGGAAGGACTCTGCACTTGGCCTTAATGCTCTGCTGGTGCCATTTAGAGATCCTTAATACTTTCTGCACAAGTGGCCCAGTGTGCACTAAGTCCCACAAACTATGTAGCAGATCCGGTCAGGAGACTATTCCTCACTGGCTATCAACAGCATCTGAAATCAGAGGGAAAGGACATAAGTATAAGGGTAGATAGTTCTGCTGTAGCATAAAGCAAAGAACTCTCCTGTCTCCATTTATTAAAACACTATACAGCTAGTTGGACCCTCCAAAGCCACACCATCCACTCCCCTGCCTTTTACATCTTCCTTTCTGAAACAGATCAAGTACCTACACTTTTGGGTTTCCTCGGAACAAGGAATACATCTTTAAGTTGATTTAGGGACCATGCTCCTACCTATGGACTAGACTAATTTTGGCCCAGTGCGGCCAAAAGAAACTCTAATTTTACCACAGTTTCCAGAAATGCTTTTATTATCTCATTTGATCTTCAGAGTCTTTTATTTCTTTGTTTAAAGGATGTTAATTGAACCCAAACAGGTTGTCAGGCACTCGCCTAAATACTGGACTTAGCACTGTGGATAGGACAGGGCCCTGCCCTCGCTCCAGCTTCCGGGATTAGCAGCAGTCTCTGGTGGTTGGATATTTCTCCAGCCTGTGGGCAGAGAGCAATTGTGCCCCCTTATAGGCCTGATTTATATATATGATTTCAGACTTCTACACCTCCAGACGTATAAGGAAACATACTTCAGATGTTTCGAGCCCCTTGGTTTGGGATACTTTCTTACAGAAGTCTTGTGAAACCAATACAGGCGACTTGCCCAGGAATGCACAGTGGGTGGATAGCAAGTGGGGCTGGAATATACTAGGATAGTAAGTTGTATGTCAGCATTATGAGGATTAGGCACACAGTTTTTGGAGTCACATTTACTGGGTTCAAGTCCAAGCTCCACCAATCATCCTACAACTTCTACTAAGTTACTGAACGGCTCAGTACCTCAACTCACTCAGAGGTGAAGATTAAGTGGACAAATATTTTAAGTTGTCCCTGGCACAGAGCAAGTGCTCTTTGTGGTGCTACTGGTTATGTCTCCATGGGCAGATTTTGAGGCCCATGGTAGATATCAGGAGTCTTGTTTTATTGATCATTATGTCCTAAGTGTTTACCATTGAGCCTAGCACATGATAAGAGCTCAAAAAATGTTCATGGACTAAAACTGGAGTTGGTTGATAATGCTGCTTTTACCCTAAATGTTGAGGCTGGTGCTTCTGAGGGCTCACTCTCTGCAGATCATGCCAGAGCTCCTGCTGGCAGGGAGGTATGTCACCCGCTCAGCGAGACATGGCTCTCTACAACACTGCCCCTAACTACAGCCCATCATTTCTAATGGACTAAAGGAGCTGGTGCCTTTAAATTGCACAGAAAGGGAAGAAAAAGCACTTTAGTTTCAGCCCGTGTTCTCCATTAGACACCCTTCAGGTGTTAGCAATATTATGGCACAATTTCATTATCCATTAAAGCCAGGTAATAATAAGTACACAAAGGTATTTGGAGCCTATTGATGTTAATGAAAGAGATCAATCTAATTCAGAGTGTGTGTGTGGAGAGCTCCTTGGAGATGGAATAGGCCCCAAGGTCAGCCTCTAACTGCCTCCTTGATGGTAGACCCCACCAGTACTCAATTTTGCATGACCGTCTTTATGACATAGTTGGAATTTTGACGCCCAGACTCACGCTTCATACAGAAGCCTATTTTCCTCCCCTTCCCAGCCCCTCCAGACATTCCTAGTCCAGAAAGAATGGGAAAGCTGCTGCATTTGAGTGAGATCCTTGTTCTGGAGTGAGAGCTTCTTTGATCTGGTCTGTGGATTGTGCTGGATTAGCAGAAAGTCCATGATTCCTGTATCACTTGAGTGACCCTGGAAGGATGTCTAGAGCTGTAAATTCTCTCTCTCTCTCTCTCTCTCTCCCTCTCCTCTGTGTGTGTGTGTGTGTGCATGTGCAGGCATACACATGCACACTTAAGTTCTATCAAGTATACAAGGTGCAATCAATGGGTATCTCAACAAAACCACACTAATCCAGAAAACATTGACAGGAAAAGGATAAATGGGGCATCTTTCTCTCCTAAAAGCCCCTTTGCATTTTTCTAGATGTACCCTGTGGGCACGCCAACTCCTGCCTGAATGAGCATTTTGCTCAGTGGGAGGATAACTGTGGTTGGGCTCAGTTTAGTCCCTACAGCTGTCCACCCTTTTCCATCCAACATGAGTTCCTAAATTTTATTCCTACATCCTCCGGCTTCTACCCTCATTGTTGCTGGTTTTTTTTTTAAACTCTGCCATACAGAAATCGAATGCTCACCCTGCTGTTTCTGGGAGCCGGCACCTCCGATAATGTATTGCAGGAAACCTCCCCTCCCATGGCTGCTGGATCAGGTTCCAGGCTGCACACAGATATCCTTGTAGGGAGAAGTGCCTGCGCTCTGGGCCCCCTGTGGAATGTAGCCCAGCTCCAAAGCGTCAGCAGTGCCCTCCGATAAACAATACGTGTCCCCGAGCCCGCATCTATGATTGCACATTAGCTGGAACTAACAGGGTAGCCAGAGCTTTTGATTTGGTATAAATGGCAGCAGCGTATGACAGTTCCAGGGCAATGATGTATTTAGAGTGGATCATTGCCTCTCCTGCCTGCCCCGCCTGTCCCCAGTCTCCTGCTGGACAGCCTGAACTGGGACTTGGTGGGTGATTGGATTGAGAGGGGCTAGCCCTTTCCTGTTAGGACCCTGGCAAGGCTGATGTTGACATGGAACTGGGCGAATTTCACATAGCTGGCCAAGAACGACTGAAGGTCATTTGGATGTCTGGGATATTCAGTTCAGGGTGGGATGTAGAGAATAAAATAAGCCCAGGCACAGAGCACATTGCAGCATTGGGGAGGCACGAGGATGAGAGATGGAGAACTGTGATAGCTACTGAATCTAATTAGGTCTTCGCAAAGCTGAGGAGTTGCTCCCAAGTCTGGCTCCCTGCCCTGCCAACTATGAGCTGTGACTCTACTCAGGATCTTTTCCCTTCTCTGTTCTGAGGACCAGGGTAGAAGCCACCCTGCTAGACAACCCATGTGAGCTCCCAGGGCCAAGGGATCCAGGGAAACTCTCCAAGGGCATGAAAGGGAATGAGGCCTGCCTGCCTGCAGCAGCTTCCATGCAAACACTAAAGGGAGGCCTGCGCCGCAGCTCACTAGGCTAATCCTCTGCCTGTAGCGCCGGCACCCCGGGATCTAGTCCTGGCCGGGGTGCCAGATTCTGTCCCGGTTGCTCCTCTTCCAGTCCAGATCTCTGCTGTGGCCTGGGAAAGCAGTGGAGGATGGCCCAAGTGCTTGGGCCCTGCACCCCATGGGAGACCAGGAGAAGCACCTGGCTCCTGGCTTCGGATCGGCGCATCATGCTGGCTGCAGCGGCCATTGGAGGGTGAACCGACGGAAAAGGAAGAAAGGAAGACCTTTCTCTCTGTCTCTGTCTCTCACTGTCCACTCTGCCTGTCAAAAAAACAAACAAACAAACAAACAAACAAAAAAAAACACCTAAGGGGAAGAAAGCCAAGCCAAGGAACAGGCTCCTAGACCCAGGGACCTCCCTCTCACTAAGCGATCTCCTACCTTTCTCTGTTCATCACAGGAAAGCTTCAGCGGCTGTTCACAAATTGACATTTAGGGTGAACAGTGACATGTAACTACAAATAATGGCTGCTCTATGGAGAGAGCATGTGAGTGTGTGTGTGTGTATGTATGCAAGTGTGTGTCCTGTTTGCCTGCCTGTCTCTTGCCTGTTTGTCTTCTCCGTACCGTGTAGGTAATGGTGTGTGCAGAGCTCTCCAGAGCGCTTGGTAGGTGACTATGTTCCACCTTGCACGTGCTACTCCCTCGCATTTCCCTTTAATGTTCGCCATTATTCGAGCTGCATTAATAATGTTTGCGGGCTGATATCTTTAAAATTAATGAGGTGTTTACTCTTCGCCAAGAAACTCATTGAAATTTTTTTTAAAAAACCTTTCTTTTTTTCCATCCCTTTCCTTCACTTAAAAAAAAAAAAGCAGACAAAAAAAACGACAATGCTAGCTTTGCTAAAAACCAAGCAGGATGCTAGGTCAGGACCCAAACCCCATTGCCAGGAGAATGTGAGTTGAGATTAGTTACCAGACAGTGTTATTCATGAGCCAGCTTCACACCACAGCTGTGTCTAAGAGCTTTGCTAGACCAATGGAGGGACATCTGGGTTCCCAATGACAGCCTATTTCCCTGCCACCCCTTGGCACATCCTTTGCAGCCATAGCACCAGTCTAAATTGTCTTCCTTATTCCAAAGACTTGTTTCTAGGGCCTTCATCTGCGTGCTGTCTTGACCCGCCATCCATCTGGACCATGATTTGGCATGGGCCACCCACCCCTGTGCCTCTGTCCACCCTGATGGCCACCACTGGCTGACTTTGTGTAGAAAAGCCAAGGGCACTGCTGAATGCTAACAGTGTGCGTCCACTTCTTGACTACGTGTCAGAACAGTTTACCGGGAGAACCTTCTACCTCTGAAGCAGCAGGCTTCACTGTCCTTTACCCCATGGCACTCCTGCCCGCAGGACAGTTTGTCCAGGAACAACACAGCCAAGACCATTCCAGGGATGGGATGGATGGGTTCCCCTCATGTCCTTTCAGGCAGTTGTTCCCTCTGATTCAGAAGCCACCAGCGGTTTCTGAGTCCTGCAGGTGACTATTGGCAAATCCCTTCAGATACTCAAGTGAATAATATGATCATTTCATGCATCTGCATCTGGAATTAATTGATAACTTGCTCAGCACAATAATGCTAATAAGATAATCTCAGTTTGTTGTTTGGGAGTTTGCTTGGGTTTCTTTCTCAGTAGCAAGAAGAAATGATAACAATAGTAAGTGCTGAAAGGTTTAAAGATCCATCCACACTCTCCACCTGCACCAGCTGGAGCTCAAGGTCTCTCACTGGACCTCTGCTCTCTGAAATGCTGGGATGCAGACTGGATGTGCAGAGCCATTGAGCCGGCTGTTATTGGGTGTTAATGAATGAGACTGTGGAATGGAGCCAGAGATCCTGCAACCCAGCAGAGGAAGCCAGGGACTGCAGAAAAGTAGACAGCAGGGGCAGAACCTACATTGAACTGAATCTGTGCAAAATCTCCAGTACCGCTCTGCAGGATGCCGTACATTGAGGACACAGAAAGAAGTTCCCACTCGCTGTCATTCAAAAATGCATTTTTGTTGTGCTTGATGTCTTCTCTGCTCCTCAGGAAGGCCAGGTCTACATCTTGCACTGGAAACAACAGAAACAACTGACTTCCTCAGGTAGACATCGAGGTGCCAACATCGACACACTTGTTTCACTCTCAGTTCAGATCCTTCTTTTTCCTCCCGTCCTCCTCAAGGAGAGTCCTGCTTGCTTTGTTTCCAGTCACATGCACACACACATGCACACGCACACAATGATGAATTCTGGGTTTGGAGTCCAGCCTCCACAGCACGATGGAGCTTGACAGGTGATAGAGCTTGTCCTGTGCTATCTGTGACATTCCCACTGGCACTGGAGGTCTAATATTGCATGCACAAATCAACAGCAGCAGTGGGCTGTAACATTGCACTGAACAACAGCAGTAGCCAAGTACCAGTGAGAAGGTATTTAGGTTTTTAAATAGCCAGTTATGTGCAAGAATAAAATAGACCTGAGGATGGTGTAATATCACTTGGCCTGTGTGGGCTAACCCAGCAGTCACGTTTTCCAACTAGTGAACCGCATCTCTCATAGTTTACCTGTGTGCAGGATGCTATTGAAGGTCAGGCTGCAGTTCTGGACATCAAATGGAAAGGCATACGTCTCTAGACTGCATGCAGAGACCACTTGGATGGGCTTGGAGTTCTTAATGGTCCCAGATGAGTTCACGTAAACATAGGGAAGGTCAGGAGATCGTTCAACATCCACACTGCATGGAACACAAGGGAATTGTTGTACAGACAGGACTCTAGCCATTTCCAAACATAGGGCTGATTATGAGATGGCAGTGACCATGACACCCAGGCCTAGCCTAGCACTGCAGAGACAGAACCACATTTCCCATGCGATGATTCACCCTGACAGAGACAGGCTCAGCAGTACCAGCCTTGTGAGTTAATTCATTTGCTACTGTGCCTACATGGACATAATGAGTAGCCTCAATCATTCATAATCAAATCTGCCTCTTACATGACGTCAATTCATGGTATATCTTTCTTGAAAACTCCCAACAATATGTTCCTTTTCAAGAAGCTCCTGGCTCCTGGCTTCGGATCGGCACAGCTCTGGCCGTTGCGGCCATCTGGGGAGTGAACCAGCGGATGGAAGTCCTCTCTCTCTGTCTCTACCTCTCTCTGTCATTCTGTCTTTCAAATAAAGAAAATAAATCTTTAAAAAAAAGAAGCCAAAAATTAACAACACTGAAAGCAAGCCACAACTGGCCTGAATGTTCAAAGCACTCGAGACCCCAGAGAAATACACCCAGCACACTTACAACTCATTAATGATGATATCAGGGGCCCAGATAGCACTTCGAGGGAGGGAGATCTCGCTAATCTCATCAAACATGCTGGAGTTCCAGGATAAAAACTCATCATCCCAAACCTGTTAGGAGTGGCCAGAAAGGATATTTATCAAAATAAGGCAAGGTCAGTTTCACTAAAGAACAGAGATTTGAATTAATAACCCAATTTGTGAGCCCTTTAGTTCTCTCTGTTAGGCGAGAGGACTTCCCATTTAAATCCTAAAGCTGGTAGCCCCAAACAGAAACCATGCCCATACATCTCACACAGAATCTAATAAATCAGGGCTGCTGAACATCTAAGCAACTAAAATTGCAAAGATAGCATCTATTCCTTAGAATAATTATATTTTACAGCAGATCCAGATGAAGAGTCCAGCATACGTGGAAGGAAACATGATCATTTACCTCACGATACCACACACTTGTCTTTAATTTTTGGTTCTGTGCATCCTGCAAAGCAAAAAGAAAATCCACACCAAATCTCAGAATGTCAATAAATCAAAGGCCGATTCAACAGTCAGACAATTCAGAGAAAGAAAATCAAATCTAACAAGATAATGCTGATTCTAAAAACATCACTCTTCAATACCTGGGTATTCCCAGCTCCCATTTGATATGCACACCTGTCGCTATATGCTTTATATTATTTATGACAAAATGGCACTTTGCCAGCACTTGACATCTTGAATGATTTGCTAATCTCTTTTCTATTCTAATTAGTTTCTCTGCCATTATTCAAGCTAAAAAATGATTGGTAATTTTAGCTGACTCTGAGCTAAAAAGATGAGACCAAGCTTTTATTTGTTATCAAGATATTATTCATAATTTTTCTGTGTGCAACTGGCAGCCATTCCTGTTAAGTTAACCATATTTGGATCTCTCTGCTTGTAGAAAAAAACCAAATGGCTTAATGTAAATGAGGTATTATTTTAGATGATATAATAAATGTAATTTTCCATTTCTGCAATGACTCAGTGATTTTTTTAAAAGATCTCCAAAAACAGCAACCAAAAATAACAAAACCTTTCCTAACAGTTTTTTTAAATATATAATCCAGTAAAAAACATTCTAGGACTTGTAGATCCACAATGTTCTTGATGAGTCAAAGAAAAGGAATCACACCATATACAGACATTAGCTCAAAATGGATCATTAACCCAAAGGTAAGATCTAAAACTATGAACTCTTTTTTTTTTTTGACAGGCAGAGTGGACAGTGAGAGAGAGAGACAGAGAGAAAGGTCTTCCTTTTGCCATTGGTTCATCCTCCAATGGCCGCCGCGGCCAGCGCGCTGCGGCCGGCGCACCGCGCTGATCTGAAGCCAGGAGCTAGGTGCTTCTCCTGGTCTCCCATGGGGTGCAGGGCCCAAGCACTTGGGCCATCCTCCACTGCACTCCCTGGCCACAGCAGAGAGCTGGCCTGGAAGAGGGGCAACCGGGACAGAATCCGGCGCCCCGACTGGGACTAGAACCTGGTGTGCTGGTGTCGCAAGGCAGAGGATTAGCCTAGTGAGCCACGGCGCTGGCCCAAACTATGAAACTCTTAGAAGAAAACATAGAAGTAATTCATTATGACTTTGAATTAAGCAATAATTTCTTATATAAAACAACAGAAGCACAAGCAACAAAATAAAAAATCAAAGGGATATTATGGGTTGAATAGGATTGTCTCCTCAGAATTCATTTAACATATGTAAACTCCGATGTCTTAATTTTTTTTAAAGATTTATTTACTTGAAAGGTGAAGTTATAGAGAGATAGATGGAGAGAGAGAGAGAGATTCCATCTTCTAGTTCACTCCCCAAATGGCTGCAATGGACGGAGCCACGCCAATCTGAAGCCAAGAGCCAGGAGCTTCCTCCAGATCTCCCATGTGAGTGCAGAGGCCACCCATATGGGATGCCAGCACTGCAGGCGGTGGCCTTACCTGCTACGCCACAACGCCAGCCCCTGTCTTAATATTAATGGCTGATGAATTAAGGGTGGGAATTGATCTAGTTGTGGTGCCTGAGAAGTGGGTCTAGTGGTATGTCTTTAGGTCACTGGGGACACATCCTTGGAGGATGGTTCTGATAAGAAGGTTGATTATTTGAGTTCAGATTCTGCCTAGCTTCCTGGCTCACCACTTGATTGTTCCTCTACACCCACCATAGTCTGGTGGCACCCAATCTTGAATTACAACCTCCAAACTATATGCTGAAATAAACCTTTGCTTTTCCAAGAAGCTCCTCTCAGGTATTTTAGTTGAAGTAATGAAAAGCAGACTAATACATGGGATTGCATAAAAATTAAAAACTTTCGAGAGGGTATTTAACCTAAAGGTTAAAATGGCTTTATCATGCTTCAAGGTGCCTGAGTTCAAATCCTGGCCCTGGCTCTGACTCTAGTTTCTCACCAGTGCAGACCCTGGGAGGCAGCAATAACGGCTCAAGTAACTGGGTTCACATCTCTCACATGGGCACCTGGATGGCATTCCTACCTGGCTCAGACTAGGCCCAAATCCAGCTGTTACACAGTCATTTAGGGATTGAACCAGCAGATGGGAGCTTGCTCTCTCACTCTCAAACAACAATTTAAAAAACAAAACAAAATGAAAAAACCACTTTTGTTCTTTAGGGAAGATAATCAGGAAATAAATGGGAGAAAATATTTGCAAAGCATATATTCGATAAGGCTTGTATCCAGAATATATAAAGAATGCCTTTAACTCAACCACAAAAAACAAGTATCTCTAATGAGAAAAACACAGGGGACTTGAATAGACATCTCACTGAAGTAGATAAATATACAAATGACCAATAAGCATATGAAAAGATGCCAGGTATCACTGCTATGAGCCAAATTGTGTCCCCACCACCAAAACGAATAAATAAATAAATAAACTTGTATATTAAAACCCAATGTGTGCATACTTGGAGATAAGGGTTTTAGGAAGTAAGTAAGGTTAAATGAGGTCATAAACAGAGAGTCCTAATCTGATAGGATTGGTGGCCCTACAGGAGAGGAAGAGAAAGAAATCTCTCTCTCCACAGGGAGGAGGCAACCTTCTGCAAGCCAGGAAGAAGCCCTTAACAAGAGCTGAATCAGCTAGATCCTTGCCTTTGTACTTCCCATCCACCAGAACTAAGAGGAATAAATCTGTGGGTTAAGCCATCCAGTTTGTAGTATGTGTTATGTTAGCCCAAACTGACCAATGCAATCACTTTTCAGTAGGGAAAGCAAATCAAAGCTACAGCAAGGTACCACCTCACACTCATTAGGATAGCTCGTACAAATAACAAAAAAGATGGAAAATAACAAATGTTGGCGAGGATGTGGAGAAATTGTAACCCTTGGGCACTGTTGGTGGGAATGCAAAATGGTGTAGTTGCTGTGGAAAACAGTATAAAAACCAAAAAATAGAACTACCATATGATCCAAAAAATTCCACTTCTGAGTATATACCTCAAAAGAGGGAACTTGGACAGATATTTGTACACTCATGTTTGTATCAGTACTATTCACAATAGCCAGGGGGTGGAAGCAACAATCTATCAACAGATTAACAAACAACATATGATACAGATACAGACTGGAATATTAGTCAGTCTTAGAAAGGAAGGAAATTCTCACACATGCTGCATGGATGAGCCTTGAGGGCATTGTGTTAAGTGAAATAAGCCAGTCACAAAAGGACAAATACTATATGATTCCACTTATCTGAAATACCTATAGTTGTGAAATCCATAGAGGCAGTAGATAGAATAGTGCTTTCCAGAGGCTGGGAGAGGGGGAAGTGAGGAGTTATTTGTTCCATGGGTGCAGAATTTCAGTTCTGCAAGATGAAAGGAGTTCTGGAGAATGGATAATGGTGATGGTTGCACAATAATGTGAATGTGCTTAATGCTACTGAACTGGACATTAAAATTGGTTAATATGATCAGTTTTGTACATGGGTATTCTACCACAAGTAAGGATAATAATTTTTAAAATGGGCAAAGGATTTGAATAGATATTTCTCCTAAGGAGGTATACAGATGGCTAATAAGCACAGAAAAGATGCCTAGCATCATTAATCACCAGGGAAATGCAAGTCAAAACCATGGTGAGATCTCATTTCATCGTCACTAGGATGGCTAAAATAAAAAAGAAAATAACAAATGTTGGCAAGGATGTGGAGAAAGTGTAGTCCTCACCCATTACTGGTAGAACTATTACAAGGCACAGTTACTTTGGAAAGCAGTCAGCAGTTTCTTGAAAGTGAAACATAGAGTGACCACAGAATCCAGAAATTCTACCCTTAAGTAATAACTAAGAAAATTGAAAACATAAATTCACACCAAAAATCTTGCATAGGAATATACATAATAGCATTATTTGTGGTAGTAAAAAAGACAGAAACAAGTCAATTGGGGCTGGTGCTGTGGTATAGTGGGTAGGGCCGCTGCTTGCAGTGCTGGCATCCCATATGGGCGCTGGTTTGAGTTCTGGCTGCTCCACTTCTGATCCAGCTTTCTGCTATGGTCTGGGAAAGCAGTGGAAGATGGCCCAAGTCCTTGGGCCCTTGCACCAATGTGGGAGACCCAGAAGAGGCTCCTGGCTCCTGACTTCAGATTGGAGCCAGTTGAGGCCAACTGGGGAGTGAACCAGCAGACAGAAGACCTCTCTCTCTCTCTCTCTGCCTTACTTCTCTCTCTGTGTAGCTCTTTCAGATAAATAAATAAAATCTTAGAAAATTTTTTTTAAAGTCAATTGCCCATCAACAGATGAATGAATAAATAATATATATATATATATATATCTGTGTCATAGAATATTATTCAGCAATAAAAAGTAATGAAATACTGATACATGCTACAACATGTATGAACCTTGGAGACATTATACCAAGTGAAAGAAGTCAGTCATAAGAGGTCACTTACGATGTAGTTCCATTTAGATGAAATGTCTAGAACTGGCAAATGTATAGACTCATAAAATAGCTTAGTTTTGGCTAAAACTGTGTGGGGTGGAGTGTGGGGTGTGACTGCCAGGGGGTACACATATGCAGTTTCTTTTTAAAGTGATGGAAATGTCTTGGGACTGTGGTGGAGGTAGTTGCCCAACTCTAGAAATGTCCTAAAAAACCACTGGATTGTATTTTTTAAAGGGGTACATTATGTGATTAAATTGAAACTTAAAAACTTTTGTTATTTAAAAATACATAGATTAGGAAAGAAGAGAGAAACCATTTTCAAAGACCTTCTGGGCAAGTTATACACAGGAAAGCTGGTATAAACGGTTAAGGAGTTCTCCCTGAACTCAGGTTCCCCACTGTTTTCTGTACATAACCTATGGTTAAAAACTACATTCTTAGAAGACAATAGAAAGATCCAAGATGAAGAAATGAAATGTGTAAAGCATTTCCTCTGCTGATTTAGGCTCAAAGGTGAAGAGCCACTTAGAGGGGCCGGTGCTGTGGCATAGCAGGTA